GAAGTTAGGATGAGCCCAGCTCCATGTTCTAAGCTGAGAAGAACTGCAGGTTTGAGCTCAAAGGGGTCGAACCTTGGAGCTGCACGAGGCATAAGAGGAGAAGGAGGGGGGAAGGCAATGGGAAGAAGGGGAGGCGATAAGGAGGGAGGAAGCGACGGGAGTAAGGAAGGGGGGTGGGGGGTGGGAGGAGGGTGGGAGGGGAGGAGCATGGGGTTCTTAGTCCACCTCTTTCATCTGTTTTGCCAGCTCCTGCTTCATGCTCTCAACCTGCACCAGCAGTTCCATCATCCTCCTCGCCCTCAAGCTCCTCCTCCTCCACCTCCACGTGCTGGGCCCGCAGCTGATCTGTCGCCTCCTCCAGCCTCCTCTCCCTCTCCAGCAGCGCCGCCTCCCTCTTCGCCAGCGACGCCTCGTGCAGCTCCAGGTTCGACCCCTTGAGCTCCACCTGCAGTTCTTCTCAGCTCGACATGGAGCTGGGCTCCTCCTACCTCCTTCTGCCGCATGCGGAGCTTCTCCTCGAGGGAGCGGATGGTGGCGAGCTTGTTGTTGAGCATGGCGATCTCTTCCTTCCTCGCGTGCTCCCGCGACGCTGCCGAGCTGGAGTGAAGGTCCATGAAGAGGTTGTCTGCCGTCCTGCTGGGCTGCTGCTGGGGCTTGAGGGAGGCAAAGGGGTCGGTCTTCCTTAGAAAGGGCTTGACCGTCCGGGTGCGAGGGGCAGAGGAGGAGGAGGGGATGGGGGAGGCAGAGGAGGTTCTCTTCAGTGAGTCCTTCCTGGAGGCGAGTTCGAGTCTGGTCAGAAGGAGGAGGAGGAGCAATGGGAAGAAAGTGGAAGAGGAGAGGAGCTGTAGGAGGCAGCTAGCAGAATGAAGGGGGGATGGGGGATGGGGGGCACATTACAGGGACGTGAGGAGAGGATGAGGGAGGAAAGAGAAGGGAGAAAGAATAGGGACGCTGAAATAGAAGCAGGAAACAAAGAGGAGGGAGGTTCAAACTGAAGAGGAAGAGGAAGGGGAGGGAGGCGGTAGAGCAGGGAGCAGGAAACCTTCTAAGTGGGAAGGAGGGTTCAGCTTGGCTGCTTGCTGGGTCAGTCCTACGAGGGACATCCTCGACATGCGAGCTCGACCATCTCGATTGTGCGTTCACGAATTCTCCCTGCGTCAGCCACCCGCTCTTGCTCTCGTTGTACGCCCGGAACATGGCGATTGCCTGATGGTTTCTGCGTGAAGAAGAGAGTGAGGCAAGGAGGTGGAAGAGGGGGAGGGAGGATAGGGAGAGAGGAGGAACGAGTAGAAGGAAAGGCAGGGAGGAGGGAGGAGGAGGGGGGAGGAGGAGAATGGAGCAACTGACCGGAAGAAGCTCTCCTTCACTGCGCTCTGGCTGCTCGTTCGTTGAGGGGCATCGAGGATGCGCTGGTCGTCAGGAGCGAACTTGAGGAGGAATTTTCTGGCTGCTTCCTCCGTGTAGTTCCTGTGGAGCTGTGAGAACGAGGAAGGGGAAGAGGAAGGTGAAGAGGAATAGCAGGAGGAATAGCAGGAGGAGGAGGAGGAGGAGGAGAGACGACGGGAAGAGACGACGAGGAAGGAGGATCGGAGAAGAAAGGAAGACAACCTGCTCTGCATTAGGATTTCTTTCTTCTGCGCTCTTGTGAGGACATCCGCCTGTGTTGCAACGTGAGAAAGCAGGAAAGTGAAGACAGAGAGATGATGATGATGATGATGATGATGATGATGATGATGATGCTGATGCTGATGATTGGGAGACTTTCAGGGCAGGAAGGGAAGGGACAAGTCGCAATACAAGCTGAAAGATCTCGTTGATCTCCTCCTCCTGCTCCGTGTCTTTGATCCTCTCAGTCAATTCAAGCCTGCAAGCGATTCTTTCACCCCCCCGAGTTGAAACGACTGGACCGAACTCTCAGACCTGAAAAGCCCAGAAACGAATTCCGTCTCTGAGATGACGTCCGCGTGCTTGCCGTCCTGCATGTTTGTTGGTGTCTCTTGCGATGTGAAACCTCCTCTCTCTGATCTCTACCTTCCTTCCCTTGAGGAAATAGAATGCTCCAAGTATGGTGTCGAATCTGTTCTGTATACGATGTTCAACACAGCTACAACAACAACTACAACAAAAGCTACATAATCATCATCATCATCATCATCAGCAGCAGCAGCAGCAGCAGCTACAACGACATCGGCAACGACAACATTCCTTCGCTTCACCCTCCTCCTTATCAACCCACGGCCAGAACAACAATCACCTGCAACGAGGACCACAAGAACCTCTCGGCCTCCTCGGAGACGGGAGGGAGCTGGAGGAGGATAAGACTTCATGACAGCAGCTCCACAGCGAGCCCTCGCTACCTCCTCGTCCGGAATCTGTTTAGCCGCTGGAAGTTCACCGCGACGAGGCTGCAGAATCGGAAGGAACAACAACTCAGCCACGTGCTCCCGGGCACTCCCACCGGGCGTACCTTCTCCTTCTCCTTCTCCTCCTTCTTCTCCGCCTCCTTCCTCGCCTCGTCTCTCTTCGCATCCGCTACCTTGCCGACCTCAAAGATGTGCCTGCAGTCGAGCTAACCCCTCCTCCTCCTCCTCGCCATCAGTAAGACGCTCTTGCTGCACATAGCCGGGGCCTCTCATTCTCATGTGCATAATCCACCTGAATTCATTGTAGTCGATCTCTCCGCTGCCGTCCGCATCAGCCCTCTTTATCATGGCGTTTCTTGACAACAGCGTCAGCAGCGTCTCCTCTACTCTTCCCCTCCTCACATCTGCGCCTTGTTGAGGCCCAAGTTCAGCTTCGAGAGCCCTTCTCGCATCTCCTCTCTCGACACTTTCCCGTCGTTGTCCTGTCGGTTTCGTCCGATCAGCTGGACGATAGCTAGTCAAAAACGCTTTGACCCCACCTTGTCAAACGTCCGGAAAGCGTTGTTCATGGTGTCAAACTTCCCTTTCAATACCTAGGGAGGCAACAGATGTCAACCCTTTCCATCTTACATCAGCCGAAGCACCATTCTGATCTCTTGCTCCAGCGCGTCGCTCCATTCGACAGTCTTCAACTCTCCCGATTCTTCTCTCAACCTCATATCTTTGATCTCCGCCTCTGCGCGCAAGCCATCAGAACGAGTCAAACCCGGCTGGGTAGTCAAACTTGACGGCGAGCTGGGCTCGTTGACAGCCGATCTCATCGTCGATCCTTCTTCTCCCAGCAGGTTCAAGAAATCTGCCACACCGATAAACAAACAGGAGCAGCAGACTCGAGCGATAGTCGACCAGCATAGTTCACCCATCCATCACCATCGGAATCCGCCATCTTGATCAACTACAGGGAAGGACTTCACGTCGGTGGCGAGGAGGGAGTTGGCAGCTACTTCACCTTCGCTAGGATCGTTCCTGAAAGGCACAGCCTGATCGAGTTGAGAGATCTTGAGAGTTGCATGACCGTCAGGCTGCCATCATGAATGTTAATGTCGAAATCTTCACACAGAGATCAAACTCGCCGTCTCTTAGTTTTCCCGTTGTTTGCTTCTTGATCAAACGCCGAGAAGGCATCCATGAGAGTAGAATACCGCAGCTTCAGGCTCGCCACAATCTCATTCTGTACTGGACGTCAAAACTTGTCACCAACGTGACATCTTACACACCTGAGCTTCCGCTACAGAAGTCGCTTGAGAAAGAGACGACAAGAACCAATGGACCAGCAGGTCATAGTTGATCTGTTCCTTGTCGTTTTCGTTTGCCTTGTTTGATAACTTGAGAAACTGATAACAAGAAAGAGGAGCAGGGGCAGGAGCGAGGGGACAGCGAAGGGGAAGGGCATGAATCAAGTAGGAACTTACAAAGGCGATGATCTTATCTACTTCAAAGGCTTGCACGGGCCTTCCAGGTAGTTCCAGGACAACATCTCTGAAGTCTTGGACTTTCAGCCGCCCTGTCTGCTCTTCGTCCTTGGCGCGAAGAGCTTGCTGAACGCTCTCTTGATTCTCCTTCAAGTAAGCCGCAAACTTCTCGTTCACCTTCTGGTTCGCGCTCCTCATGGACTGGGTCATGCTCCTGGTCAGCTTGTCGAAGTTCTCCTGTCGCTGCTTTGCTTGCTTCTCGCTCAACCCAAAGATCACATTGAACTCGTCCAGCTCAATCCCGCCGCTCCCATCTGAGTCTGCAAGGCTGATAAGCTCCGATATCTCCGAATCCTTCAACCCGAGATCAAGGTCGAAGAGCAATGTCTTCAGCTGATTCAATGTGATCTTGCCCTTCTGCTTCGACAGAGAGGAGAACGCAGTCGACAGAGATTGATACTTCTCGACCAGCTTCGCGTTGATCTTTGCAAACAGACTTTGATCGAGGAGCGGGCAGAAGATCCTCAAAAAGTAGAGGAGGTAGATAGCATCGGTGTCTTGCTGCAAGTTACAATGGCGAAGAACGGAATCCACCAGAGGCTGGTCCAACTTTATGGGGTCCGAGGAGAGGATCGTCCTCAACGTTGCCGCCGTGATCATCTCACTGCTCGAGTTCCCTTCAGTAGAGGCCAGGATAGTATTTCTCATGCTCCTCAGCTCTGTCTTGGCCCTCGCAATGTTGCTGGATTCCAAGTCTTGGAACACGAGCTCCGAGAGTTTCGACACGAAGAGCCGATAGTTCAAGCTGTCATTCTTGCCAAGAGTGTAGGACACGTCTGTCGCCAGTTTTGTGTTTTCTGGGGAGACATTCAATTCTTTCAGAGTGCCGAGGTTCTCAAGAACCACAGCCTTTTCAAGCTTCCCTTTCCCCTGCTTGTCTTCTGCCTCCAATGTTTGCAGAAACTGTATGAACAACGAACGACTCTTCTCATCTAAGTGCTTGCAGATGACATCGGTAGGCGCCGAATCCTCGCTCCCTCCCGCTTTAGGTGGTTCTGGCTCCATGGTCTCCCTCCCAAACCTGAATTTTTCCGTTGGCTTCCCTCAGCTTCCTCCCGGCCTTCGAGAGTTGCTGGTCTTACGATATCCTCCTCCTCCTCCTCCTCCTCTCCTCTTCCTCTTCCTCTTCCTCTTCCTCTTCCTCTTCGTCTCCAGTCTCCCTTGCCTGGTCCTCAGTGATCCATTCCAAAATTGAATTTCCAAACTCACCACCCCTTGTTTATCCCTCCCTTACCCACCCCATCTTTTGATGTACCCCCACCTACCCTCGACCCCCATGTGACCACGGCCTCCCCCTCACCCCTACCCGCCAAAACCTTACACCACCCCTTGGGGTACACGAACCCCTTGTCCGACGGGGAAACGGACCCCCCCTACATCCGACCAGTTCGGGCGTATGGCGTATCGCCAAGACAGGGTAATGAGGAGAGGAGCAAGGACGATGGTGGCGTGCATCGATCTATGACCTCGTAGCGTCATCTCTCTCAAGTCTTGTCAATCTCTCGTTGCTCCATAGTTGGATTGGACTTGCCCCAGGGTCACCGAGCAGAGTTTGCTGTCTGGTTTTAACCCAGAATAGTGTGCTGATAGTTCACCCTGGTGCCGGAGAAACAGGACCAGTCAAGTTTTGTCCGGGAGAGAATTCTTTGTCGGGGTTGTTGAATTTCTGATTGCCATATTTGTCCACTTCTTGCATTTGCACAATGGTAATGCTCGCAACGACTCGGATCGTCCCTAATTGTAGCCCCAGGGGAAAATTTTCAAGATTTACCTTTGTGGGGATCGCATCTACAGCTGCAGCGGTTGCAGGACACATCTAGCAAAGCACGATCAGATTGTTTCTAAGGTGGAGCACACCTTCCTCACCCTCAAGCTTACTAGTTTCTCGCAGGCTTTCCAGGGAAGGCATGGTAGAGCATTCCTCTTCAGCAACGTGTAAGCTTTCGGAATGCTTCTTTCAGGTCTGAGCAATCTCATCAACTTTCTTCAGGGTGAACATCACGCTTGGCCCGAAAGAAGATAGGATACTCATAACTGGACTGCACACCGTTGCAGACGTATACTGCAACTGTTGCCAGGCTGTTCTTGGCTGGAAATATGTAAGAGCGCTCCATGAATGAAGGTCCGAGGAGGTAACAAGCTCGTCGATGACAGGTTGAGGCCTTTGAGGAGAGCCAGAAGTACAAGGAAGGAAAGTGCATTATCGAGAAAGCGAAGATGGCGATGGAACCTAACATGTTGCCTGAAAACATTCACCGCAGCAACGACCCATGCTATGGCTTGTGAGGTCGGGGGGGGGGGGGGGGGCGTGTGGATACGTGCTGAGACGCAACACATTACAAGAAAGTTGCTAGCACATTACAAGAAAGATGCTAGAATCTTTCTCAGCTTGGGCAAAGCTATCACTTCACAACTTACCCTCAGGAAGGGGTCAAGGTTGAGCGATAGGGACACGAAGTGATGTTCGCTTGACAATGCTTCATTACATAAATACTCTTAAAACAGAGTACCTTGCACACCCCCTCGATCTACTTTTTTGCCGGATCGTCTTTTACCAGGCTGCAAAGAAGGTTTACGTTACCAGGATCAGATTCGGGATGGAAACTCACCCATTCTTCCTTGCTAATTGATAGAGGCCAGTGATAGCAACAAAGAAGTTCACGCTCATCAAGTTGTAGTTGATCGGAATGATTTGTGTGGCATATCGACACCAGATAACTCCAGTCGCAGCCAACGCTACAAGACGCAATCAGCGGACAGGTCGATAGATTTCCATCGACTAAGACAATCACCTGTCTGCTGTGCTGTGGAAACCTTCTCTACAGGACGGTTCAAGTCAGCAAGGCCTGCAATGACAAGCCCCCACTTGAATGTTGGAGCCCAAAAGTGAACTGATAGAAGGATGCATCGATTAGTTACGATGCCAATGACACAAGCTCAGCTTACTGGTTTTGGGCCCGGCAGGATGGTTCCAAAAAGCCTGAAGCCTTGCGGTTGCCATCTACGCTACTACAAAGATAAAAGATCAGAAGTTATCTAGCTCAAATATTGAAAGATATTGATTACGAAATACATCCTTTGCAATCAAAAATCACCAAAACGTACAAGCAGATTTTTCATTTTACAGCCAAGGAAGATGGTAAAGCTTTCCGTCAAGGGAGGCGGTTCATCGCTAAATAGAATATGAAAGGCAACGACACAACAATGTAGACATGTTTCAGAACAGGATCATGTCCCTGCTCGAGCAGTCGCGTGTTGGCTACGTCCAGTCACAACCCCACCACAGTTCTTCCCCAACATCTGGATCAGCCATACCATACACCATGATCCTTCAGTAACAGATTCAATTCTATACCCTGAAAGCAACACACACAACACGATATCCGCGCCTCCATTCTGTTGTTTCCTCCTCCTCCTCCTCCTCCTAATTCTCCGTCCCATCCCCTGCTCCATCTGCGATGCATGGCGCAAGGGGAGAGGCACAACAAGAGGTTATTTTAAAACTTCTTTTAGAATGTTTTTGACATTTTGTAAGTTATAAAACCACCTTTCCAAGGTATATTTCATAAAATTTTGTTTTTATACTCCATCTCTACTTGATGTCAACACGTAAAACTTTATATTTTGGTACGGATTTTTTCAGTAAAATAATGCTTCTATCCCTTTTTAAAAATACTATAAAATTAATCATGCTGACCAGTAGTTTTTAAATATACATATCATCAAACATTTTAAACTTGTAGCCCCAAACCCAAAACCCAGGAGTGGAGACTTGCGAGGATGGTGAGATTGCGGTGGGCATCTACAATGGCGATACTGTGGATGATGGGCGGCACGAGAGGAGGGAGGGGAGCGAATGGATGGGCTGTTGATGGAGGAAGGGCAGGTGGAGAGTATGCAGCATCTGCATCAGGATCTCATAATAAGGTGACATCTTTCATCATGTCCGCCATGTCCGATGCACGACCGAGGGGGCGCATCAGTCAGATAAATGAAGCTGCATGCGGGGATAGGCAGGAGGATTTCGCAAGCATCAGATTTGGCTCTATTCAATTGAAGGACGTTAACACCATGCATGGATTGAGAGGAGGATCCGAAGATGAATCGGAAAGCCTCCTTGTGTTCCCAGAGTCTGACGGGCAGGACCCCCCGAGCGCAGCGGAGAAGATTGAAATCTTTGCGAGGAAGACGGATCTGAACCCAAACGTGTGTGATAGCATACTTAGATCTTACAAGTGGGACCTTCGGAAAGCTTTGAAGATTCAGTTTGACGAAGGGTCGACCTCTCTGGACGACGATTCGATACAATTCAAGCTACAGGATACCGACGCGTTGAGGACCGACTGGAATTATCTCGATGATCTTCCTCTGACAAACAATCTGGACCCAACTTTACAGAGTTTCATAGACGATGAAAAAGCCAAAGAAGAAAGATTGATGCAAGAAAGGAGGAAAAGGAGAGGAGAGGAGTTCCAGCTGACTTGCCCAATGGATAAGCTCATGTTCCATGCAGCATGTGGAGTGTTCTTCGACGTCGAAGCAAACAAACAAGATATTTTGATCTCAGGCCTCAAGGTGATTCGTGATTTCGATCCTTTCCCTTGTGCTGTGTGAAACTCAGTTTGTAGATTACTTGCGAAGGGGAACAAGACCATGTGGAGTACACCATCTACTCGCGGAATGGATCGTGGTTTGATCCGCACTTTGCTGCGAGACAGAATGCTTCTCTGTGGGATGTCGTGATGGAGACTAAGATTTGCGATGTACGTGAGAATCCCGTGCTTATACTAGAGGATGGCAACCTCGAATTGACTAGTGGCAATTTCACCCTGCTCCCTTTCGATACCGATGTCAAGATCTTAAAGGGCACGAAGGCGTCTTTCTACGTCCATGGGACTGCTCGTGGGGCCGTCCTCTTCGGACATCCGATAACAGATTTTCATTGGAGGGCTGAGGACGTTTGTCTAGACTACTGCCTCCAACCATTCATAGAACCGAAACATCGCGAGTTGGTACAATTCTTGTATCGTCCGGACTCTACATGTGTTCCAATGGAATCAGATGATTTCATTACAGTCTATGCGGGAACGATGAACTTCGAGCTTGACCATTTCTCAACCTTTAATTCGATTCTACAGAGAAACGACGTGCAGTTCACGACAGTAGCGATTTTCTGTGGAGTGGTGTGTTATCATAAGATCGGGGAACCAGCATGACCTCGTCCCTCGACGGCGCGCTCCACTTCGAAGAGGAGGCGAACGCATAGACATACAAAGACAAGATGAACAGAGGAGTCAAATCTCAGTGCCTCGGTTTCTGACTTCTTGACGCCCTCCTGGTTGATGACGCATGCGTGCCCGCTGTCATCCTGGATCCTGCTGACGTGTTGGTCTTTGCACTCCTAGATCCGACGCTCCGTGTGTCAAATGACATGGTGCTCAGCGCCCTGCTTCTCGCCGCCTTGCGTTCTTCGGCAGTCTCCACCTTCTCGACGAGCTCATCAATGAATTTCTTCGGCATGTCAAATATCCCCTCGAATTCTTTCTTGTTCTCTTCGCTGAATTCTTTTGAGCAAATGTCTGAGACTTCAAATCCGCTCCCTGAAGATTGAAAGTCAAGGGGTGAACACAGAGGGAGAAGCTCCTTACCAGCACAATAGTCCTGGATCACAGGATAAAGTTCTTTGCCGGGAGGGAGGTTCATGACCAGTGACGAGTTTGGAGGTCCTCGTGTGTGGGAAGAGGCTGCTTGTGAGAACACTGAATCCTTCCAATCTCCTTTCTGGTTGAAACTCACGGCGAAACTAAGAGTTCTTCGAAGGGTGTCAAGCCTGCACCTGACGATGCTGCCACTCCGAAACCAAGAGTCTCCACGAGCAACAAAGTTGTTGCCGTTCCAGATGTCTCCATCTTCGTCGATGTACCAGACGCGGTTCAAGAAGTGCGAGTTACGGAAATCTTTGTCAAGCTCAATGTCGCGGATCGCCACCCCTATGCGGGCCTTGTTGCCGTTAGCACTAGCGCTGGTTTTCTTCACGTACCACTCATGGATGCCTTCCTTGAATGGCTGCTCCATGGCGACTGTGCTCCAGTTGTCGTTGGTTTGCGTCACGAAGGTTCCGTTGTACACTCTTGATCCCATACTCTCCCCTTCGATGGCGCCACTATCCCACCTCGCCCACGAAATCCCCTTCTCATTAAAACTCCACTTCACAGTGCCAAGCTCCTCATCGGCATCGTCTGCATGGCAGATCCAGGGGTGAAACTTGTTCTTCCATATTCTCTGCTCGATCTGCACCTCGTCTATCTGCCTGTTCTGCAGCTCGAGATACTCTGGCGACCCACATAGTTGTCTGATCAGCCCTTCGACCTCTAGCTCCCCGTCGAGCATACATGCAGAGTAATGGAGGATACTTGCACGATCAGCATCTCGCTTGAGAATTCGGTTGTGGACGCGATTGATAATGTCCCTTAGTCTGCGCTCCTCCTCTTTGTCTACCCCATAGTAGAGAGTCTCCGAGCTCTGTTCACTCGCTGTATGTGTTGCAAGGGACTTGAGCAGCGAGGCAACCTGAGAGGAGTTGTGGCTCGACAGAACTCGTGAGAGCTTGTTGTCTTTGGATGACTTGGTCCGATCAAAACTGTTGAAGCTCAAGCCTGAGGGTGCTCGCTTGACTACGTAGCTCTGATTCGAGGGACTGCGGTGCAATCCTCCCATGGTCTCAGTGCTAGGCTTTCTCCTCAGACTGCTTGCTATACCTTCTTCCGTTTCAGACATATCTGCTCTCCTCGATCCCAACGGTTTTCCCCTACCCTTTTGCCAACCTGCTTCCTGAAGCAGTTCTCAGAGCTTCTTCGAGCTTGAGCTGATCCCTTCTCCTGGCTCCTCCTCTTAGTGTAGAGAAGAGATCTGCCTCTCCTCGCTTGCTCCAACGCTCTCCCTCAGCGGCTCCTGATCACCATCTGTCTTGCATTTTCGTGTCCCCGGATGATTTCCTTTTCAATCTCTGAGGCGAGCTTTTGTCGCAGCAGTCCGCCGGGCCGGCCCAGTCGGAACGGCCCGCCGCCCGGGACTCGAAGTTTCAAAGTTTGCCCGGCCTGTCACAAGTTGGCTCACTGAGAAGCCTTGCGCACTTACTGCCGCAGAGAGACTCTCAATATCAGTTAAGTTTTGGGGACAGCAGTAGGCAGGATGAGGGTTCAGTCAACTGGTAATCATTGTCGGATCGGACCGTGCCTCCGTCCCGCGGCCCGGCGGCCCGAATTCGGACCGTACCCGGCCCGGGGCCAACGGTCGCACCCTTTTTGGCAATGTCTGTACCTCTACCCCCTGTTGTGCCCTTCGAAGTACCCCACCCCACCTAGATATTGTTTGACGAATGCGGGCGTGAGGCGAACTGGGCGGTGAGTGAGGGGCAGACTCTCAGGGAATGCAGGAACGAGTTATGAATGGCAGGTGATGGCAACAAGCAGGAGAGGTTGTTGACACTGCATCTCAGTGCGAAGCTGAATGGCTTCTTGAGCTGATTTTCTTCCCGCCCAACTCAAGTTTCAAGATGAGTTTGTAGTGCAATCATTCCTCACCAGATGGTAGGGGTTGCAGCACCTGAAGATGCTGAAGATGAACGTCCTCAGCGTTCAAGGTGCTCTGACTCAGTCAGAAATTTGTTCGAGTATGTGGATGAGGACGGGGAGAAGAAGGATCGTCTTACTACTAGTTTGCTGATACTCTCAGTTGTAATCATAGATACGTCATTCGATGCAGCGTCGGGGATACCAGATGGAGCAGTGGCTCTTGTCAACAACCTCTGTCTCTCATTCTACACCCTCGAGATGCTACTCAAATTCCTTGCCTACGGGATCCTCCGGAGACCGGACGGCTACCTCCGGACGTACTGGGGCCTGTTGGACTTGGTTGTCCTGCTGTCAGCGTATCTCACCATCATCATCTCGGCAGCTGCTGGCTCTGGATACTCGGGAGGAGACGTGAGGATCCTGAGGATCTTCCGCACGTTCCGTTTGTTGAGGACGGCTCGAGGACTTGGGAGTTTGAAGATCCTGATACAGTCGTTCGCCGTGTCCGCCATCCGCTTGCTCGGGATCTTGCTGGTCTCTGTATTCTTTGTCTTCATCTCAGCCAACGTGGGTCACAACTTCTTCGGGCTGAGATCAAAGCTTCGGTATTACTGCACGGTATCGATTGCGGACGGCGAGTCCACCGAGGTTGTCCTGCCGGTCCGGCATTGCAGGGGCGGCAGCAGGTTCAATTTCGACTTGTTCGCAGGTGGCAGGAGCTGCTATGCGGATGAGATATGCGAGAGATCGTACTCTCTTCCCTCCATCAACCCCCTGCTCAGTTTTGATGACATAGGAAGTTCGATCATGACGGTTGCGACCTTCCTGTCCCACTACTTCGAGGGAGAAATCCTCAACCCCACCATCGACGCAGCAGGGCAGTCTGCCATGATCTACTTCTTGGCGTTGACAGTGCTGGGATCGATCTTGCTCGCCAACTACTTCCCTGCCATCTACGTCTTGTGCTACCTGGAGTGCAAGGGGAGATTCAATCAGACCGGCGGGGTCCTCCTGACATCGCCGGGGCAGGAAAACATGTCTGCCAAGAGGATCTCGACGCGGTCAGAAGGGGAGAAGGACGCACTGGTGCTGCATGTAGAGGAAGAGCAGAGGAAAACTCTGGTCGGCAGGATCAAGCTCATGTGGCAAAGGATGGACGCGAGGCTGAGGTCGCACAGGCAGGTCAACATCGAGGTGAGGGAGAGGAGGTCGTTTTCCTTGCTCGATCTCGTCCTCTTGTCCCGGACCCTGTGCGGCAAGCTGATTGTGTTCCCGAACTCCTTCCATCCCGACAAGAACGTCGATGACTTTGCTGAGATCTTCGCATGGCATTCGAGAATCTCCGCCTTCTCCAAGACCCCTCTGTTCAGCTACCTCCTTTCCGGGCTCGCCGGGCTGCAAGCTCTGATGATCTGCATCGTCAACAAGGACATGAGCGCGAGCGAGAGGAGCATCGTCAGGGTGGTCGAAGACGTCACAGTCATCCTCTTCGCTCTCTCGCTCCTCTCCCAGCTGTTCGTCTTCAACTTCAACCCGCGGTACTTCTGCTACCCGCTCAACCTGTTCGACTCGTTGGTGACGATTCTGAGCCTCATCGGGGTCATCTCCGGCATTGATGGCCTTCGCACGATCCGACTTCTTCGCTTCCTCCGCCTCTTCTCTCACCTCCACCTGCTCCCTGACCTCAACAGTTTGCTTCACTTGGGGTTGAGGAGAGGCACTGGCAGCGCTACCATCGCCATCGCCTTTGCTTGGATCGTCTACTCACTGGTCGGGCAGCAGCTGTTCCCTGTGACGCCCTTGCCGAGGTTTTCGTCGCTAGGAGGGGTAGAGGAATACTTCTCCTCGTTCGGAGGATCTTTCCTCATCGTGCAGCTTCTAATGGTGAGAGTTGGGGGTGTTGAGGGGAGAGGATGAAAGGCAGGGGGGCTAATGCGCAGACAAGATATGCTGCTGCAGCTGCAGCTGCTGCTGATGCTGATGATGATGATGATGATGATGATGATGATGATGATGATGATGATGATGATGCTGCTGCTGCTGCTGCTGCTGATGATGATGATGATGATGATGATGATGCTGCTGCTGCTGCTGCTGCTGCTGCTTCTGCTGCTGCTTCTGCTGCTGCTGCTGCTGCTGCTGATGATGATGATGATGCTGATGCTGATGTTGATGATCATGATGATGGTAGCAATGATGAAGGTGAAGATGAATACAATGGTTTTGATATTGATGATGGTCGTAATATCTCAAATCGACAGCGAATACTGACATGTCCTTCCAACTAACAGACAGGAAACAGCATATTCTCTCTCCTCGTCGAGGGCAGTTCAGTGACAGTTGGAATCGTCCCATACCTGATGATCGGAAGTTTTGTTTTCAAGCTCATCATCATGAAAACTTTCCTTGCTGTCTTGATCGACAACCTCGAGACAGACGACCGAGAGAAGGTCTCTCGTCAGATCTACCTGCGCGACAAGAACAAGCGGGAACTGCAGGAGGAGTCCCGACGACAGATCATGCTGAAGAAGATAACCAGCACAGCTCACTTCCACTTCAAGAGCTACTCCTGGGCGAAGTTTCAGATGCAGGCAGGGAGCAGGGGGATCAACGACTCGTCTCCTGTCCTCCACTCTTGTCTGGTCTATTTCGGTTGGCACCTTTCAGATGCGGTCGGTCAAAAGGGATGGATGGAGATGAGAGAAGATGGTTCTATCGGCATCTATGCCCTTGTGGGAGGGACCATGACACGACCGTACGGACGATCTGTGTACGAGGTGATGATATTGCTTTTTTTGCTGCTTGCCTCTCTGTCAGCCTTTCAGTATGTCTGTCTTGCTGTCTCCTCCACGGTTGCGATTTTTGTTTTTCTCTCTGCATCACCTTTTACTCTCATTCCGTCTATGTGAGATGGTCAAAGTTTTCATTCCATTCCTCCCCTTCTTCCATGATATTGGAGCATTTGAGCGATGAGTTTCTGTGAGGATCTTGTTTTCTGATTCCATCACATCTATCATCACCACTACCACCACTATCACCACCTCCTCCTCCTCAACCACCTTGTGCTTCTTCTTGTTTGTTCCTAAATGTTCTGTCTGCAGATCAACACAAACCATGCGACCGTCATTGCGCAATCTTCAGCTCGTAGATTGGTCATCTCTCAGCCCTCTCAATTCTCCCTTGTCTTGCAACCTGACTCCTCGCTCCTCTCCAAAATGTACAACAACAACCTCCACCGCGAAGTCCTCGTCTTCCTCCCCAGCCAGGACGCCCTCGTGCTTTGGCTGCAACGCCTGGAGGGAGGAGGGGCGAGGATGTCCGAGAAGCAGCAGGTTCTGCTGGAGATGTGCTGCTACGATCACGGTCAGAGCACCCAGATGGGATTCTCCCCGGAGGAAGTGAAGAGTGACGGGAGGATCGAGAGCGACGTGCTGGACTCGCTGCGCACAGGAGGATCGTTGATGGCACGAGCTCTGACGGACCTTGCCCTGAGCTTGCAAACTGACCTGCTAACGGAGGAACATCACGAGGACGAGGTTCGATGGCAGCAGAAGCCCCTCCGAAGGTTCGTTGATTCCTCAATCCAGTCTTCTCCTGTCCCATCTCGCTGTCTGCCAATGGGGGAGGACGATCGGAACGAGTCGAAGACTTCTTGCTCCGTCATCCTCCTCTCCTCCTGTCCTCCTGTCCTCCTCCTCTCTACCTTTCCTCCGCTCTACCTCTCCTCTCCTCTCCTCCCTTCCCTCCCCTCCCTCCACCATTCCTTCGCTTTTCAACTATCTTCGCTCCTGCCTCGTACTCGTCCAAACTCCTCGTTTCTCCTCCTCTCCTCCTCTCCTCCTCTCCTCCTCTCCTCCCCTCCTCTTCATCCTGTTGACCCTGAGCGTCCTCAGGCTCTTCAAGAGCGAGGTGTATGAGACCGTTATCAGCATCTGCTTCCTCCTCTGGGTCCTTATCACCATCTTTGACACCGAGACCAGCGAGGCTCTCCTCCTCCTCACCCCAGCCGAGACCATCCTGGTCGACTGCCTCTTCACCTCCCTCCTCCTCCTCGAGACCTGCGCCAAGGCCGTCACCTTCGGCGTCGTCTCAGGCTCCAAGGAAGCCATTCTTCGCTCCATGTGGGGCATTATCGAGTTGCTTTCTCTCCTCGCCATCCTCGTCGACCTCATCATCCGCTTCGCCTCCTCCAAGGAGAGCGCGAGGAGCCCTGACCTGACCTTCCTCCGCAGCATTCCCATCCTCCGCGTCATTCGACCCATCGCAGGCCTGAAGCGCTTCCATGCTATCCGAGTCTTCCTCGACTCCTTGTGGAGGGCCAAGAGTATCATGCTGCAGACCTTCTTCGCCGCGATCCTCCTCTCCTTCACCTGCTGCGCCATCTGCTCTGACCTCTACTGCGGCAAGCTCGTCCTCTGCAACGACCAAGGGAGACCGGAGGACGCGTGCCTCGGTACCTTCCAGGGCGAAGCCATCAACTACAGGAGCGGGCCTCTGCGCTGGAGCAAGATGCAGGCATTTGTAGAGGAGGAAGGCAGGAGTCTGATCCTGAAACCTCGAATGTTCTACTCCGCCGACATGAACTTCGATGACTTTGTGAACCTCGCCCGCACCATCGGCGTCATATCCTGCCCCTTCGGAGAAGGCTGGTTGCAGCTTGTGGAAGACCTCATGTTGGTCAAGGGTAAGTCAGAGGGAGGGAGGGAGGGAGGGAGGGAGGGAGGGAGGGAGGAAGGGAGGGAGGGAGAGAGGGAGGGAGAGAGGGAGTGTTTAGATAGGGTTGTTTGAGTCCCCTCTTGTTTCTGTTCTTTCTTCATCCTAAACTTTTCCCCTCTCTCCCTCTCTCCCCCTCTCCCTCGCTTACTATCCTCTCTTCCCTCCTCCTTCTCTCTCCCCTCTCCTCCCCTCTCCTCCTCTTTGTTAGGCGACTTCATCCAGGATGGCCCCAAGAACGTATCTGCCGGGCTCCCCGTCATCGTCGTCGTCCTCTTCATGCACATCCTCGTCTACAACCTCCTCATCGCCATCCTCATCCGCACCCTCCGCCAGATCGACGGGCTCGCGTTCCTGACCTCCGACCAGCGCAGCTGGAGGACAACCATCAGACTGGTGAGGAGATCAGCGAGGATCTTCATCTCGCAGAGCAAGAGGAAGTCGAAGAGAGGATCTAGGATGCTCCAGTCTCTCGCCTCCTCCCGGGAGTTCCGAGCCGCTGTCGACCTCCTGCTCCTTCTCAACGTCGTCCTCCTCGCCCTCAACAGCTGGGACGGCAGGGGCCTGGCCACGGCCTGCAACGTCTTTGTGATCCTCCTCGCCATGGAGCAGCTCATCCAGCTCGGCGCCTCCTCGCTCGACCTCTTCAACCGCGCCACCACCTCCTTCGACTTCGTCGTCACCATCATCAGCTGCGTCGAGTGCGCCATGAACGGGAGGGGGAGCGTGATCTTGGTCCTCCGCTCCCACTCGCTCATCCTTGCTGTCGTCCGGCTCCGCTCCTTCATCCCTTCCCTCTCCGAGCTCCACGACGTCCTCGCCAGCTTCAAGCACTGCTTGCAGGTCAGGGCACCGTCCACGTCACGAACTCTCGCTTCTTCCTCTCTCCATGTCTTGCTCTCCTCTCCCTCCCTTCTTTCCTGTCCCTTCCCAATCTTTGACTCTTTGACTTGTTTCTCACCTACTCTCATCGTTGATCCCACCAACTCCCTTCCTGCTCGCCCCCTGCTTCCCTGCCTCATCGTCCCTTGCAGGTAAGCTTCGGCTGCCTCGTATTCCTCCTCGTCTTCATCGCCGTCTTCTCCATCATCGGCATGCAGATCTTCTCTGACGTCAAGGCCAACTTGTCTGGCATCACTCCCTCCTCCAATTATATCGACTTTCCCAGCTCCTTCCGCACAAACTTCCAGCTCGCCCTCGGCGCCCCCTACCTCCCCGTCCTCTTCGCCCTCACCGTCATCCCTCCCAGCTGTACCCCCGACCCCTCCGTCCAGGGCACGCTCCTCCTCAACGCAGGGGTCCACGGCAACAAGCTCGAGATCGCCACCACGGGCCAGCTGGTATCTAGCAAGGGAGACTGCGGTACTCTGCAGGCCTGGATCTACCTGCTGCTGCTGATCGGAGTTTGCCGGGTGTGCATCATGCCGCTCTTTGTGGCGAGCGTGATCTCTGCACTGATGGAGAGGATGGACGACCAGCGATGTCTGGTGGACGGGAAGCAGATGAGCATGTTCGAGGAGGAGTGGCTGGTGCTGGACCCGCATCGTAAGGTGAGTAAGCTGATGTTGCTGCCTCCTCTTCCTCCTCCTTCTCTTCTCTCCCTCTTCCTGTTCTCCTCCTTGTTCCACATCTTGATGTTCCAGATCCACATTTGCTCATATGTGATGCAGGGAAGTTTGCCAGTATGGAAGCTTAAGAGACTTTGCGAAGGTGATGATGATGATGATGATGATGATGATGATGATGATGATGATGATGATGATGATGATGATGATGATGATGATGATGATGATGACGATGATGACGATGACGATGACGATGACGACGACTGTGATGTCGGTGATTATGTGGATGACAATGGTGGTGGTAACGATGCTGATGGAAGGGATTGGAATGATTTCTGACGCTTCATCAAACAGGTTTGCGGTATCGTGGTTCTGTCTTGTCGCGATCTTTCAAGAGCGACTGGTCTACGTTCGACGACTTCTGGAGCAACATGGTGGAAGGGTCGCAGATGCGGGAGGAGGAGACGAAGGCGAAGGCGACGAGGCGCGACGAGGGAGGACAGGAGGAGGACAGCAAGACAAGTCTGCAGGACGAGCAGAGCAGCAAGATGTCGGTGGAGGAAGATGAAAAGTATCAGAGGGCGGGAAGGAGGAGGAGAATGGAGCTCACGTACGAGGAGGTTCTGATGACGCTGATCGCGCTGGAGAAGTTCCCGTCAGTCCTGCCCATCGACCTTGAGCTGAAGGCGAAGGAGGTGCAGGAGAAGATGAATCTCGTGCTGTCGGAGATGACTGCAAACCATGAGAGGAGGATGATCGGCGCCATGGAGAGAATCAAGAGCAGCCTGCTGCTGGCCGCTGAGGAGAGTACGATGGCGCTGATGGTAGAGAGGGACCTGTCGTCCTTGGACGCTGCCATGGCTGCGAAGTTGGCGAAGATTGAGAGCAAGATGCGGAGCGTGAAGAACTTGAAAGACAAGGTGGGAGGAGGGGAAGGAGGAGGAGGAGGGAGGAGATGGCAGCAAGGAGGATGAGAGATGGCGAAAGCAAGAGGAGAGGCACAAAGAGGGTATTTAAGACGCAGAGATCCCCTG